TAAAAGCACTGTACTAAGCTCTACACGGCCTCCATCTTGCCCACAATCAGGGTTTTTAGTCCTGAAGGTATTTGCTGCAATTGATCATTCACTCCTTCCTGGAGTACTTTTTATTCTCTTTGGCTTCTGGAACATCATACTGTCCTGATTTTTTTCTTAACTTCTGAATGTTGCAATAATCAAGTAATTTCTCTCCATTCTTTGTCTTTAAATAAAATCTGTATGCTGATATCTCCTGCATGCATATCTTCAGCTCTGACCTTTTCCCACCTCTCCAGAATAATCTATACAACTGACTATTTCATTGTCTCCCTTCAGTGCCTACTAAGTCATAAGGCAGAGTTTTTGCTGTTACCTTATGAGCTAGAATCTAGAGTGCAAAATCTTACTGCTTTCTTCCCAGCACATGTACAAACCTATAAATGATGCCAATAAACACAGGGGAAAGTGTTCCCAATACTTTAGGCACAGATAAGGAATTAAAATCTGATTGTTTAATTTAGTATATCTTAGGTTGATAGGTACTAGGAAAACATTAAGCAGAGAATTTAAAAATTCTCTTTCCCTTATAATAAGCACCAAAAGTATGGGTGTGGGTGAATATAAAACCAGTCAAGGGGGATGTGCTATATGAGAAGAATTCAATACCTTTAGGAATACTATTTTAAAGAGGGAAGAGAAGAAGAGTTATTCATGAAGAAAACTGAGAGAAAAGTAAAATATATAATGTTCACTAAGCAGAAAAAAAAATGTGTGAATGTGAGAAAGATGAGAAAGCAAATGTCAAATAGGAATCTCAAACACAGTAAGAAGCAAGAATCAGCCAGGTATGGTAGCACATGCCTGTAATCCCAGCGGCTTGGGAGGCTGAGGCAGGAGGATCACAAGTTCAAAGCCAGCGTCAGCAAAAGCAAGGTGCTGAGCAACTCATTGAGACCCTTTCTCTAAATAAATACAAAAAATGGGGCTGGGGCTCAGTGGTCAAGTGCCCCTGAGTTCAATCCCTGGAACCTCCGCTTCCAAAAAAAGAGAAGCAGCAGCAAGAATCCCTTCAAACAATGTCTAGCCCATGGAAAAATGACAAACTACAAGCACAACCATTTTTCTGACAAAATTTAATATTTACTGAATTGTATTCTTACCAATTGAAATATTTATTAAATTCTGGTCTTTGCCATTTTTCATGTTATCCCTGCTTTACATTTTTATATTCTTGTCTGCTGTTGATCTTGGACTCTTTTCAACCCTCCCTGCATAGCTTTTCTGGCTTGATACACAAGCTGCCTTTCCAGCTCACAACCCTTGGCTTCACGCCTACCTTGTGGCCCCTCTGTAAATTAACTCACTAATGCTGTGCAAACTGGCCCTAAAACCTCCCTGACCACCCATGTGCTGTCCTGAAAAGCAGTTTCTACAAGGGGCTTAAAATATTTGTATGTGAATGTATAATATAATAAATTAGCATATACAAATATCTAACATTCTAGAAACTAGGAATATGTATATAATTAAGAAAGGTTAATAAAACAAGTTTTGTGTAGAATTGGGTTGCTATCAAGAGGATCTATAGGAAGATAGGATGTGCTGATCTGCTTATGAAGAATACTTAGAAAAGTAAAGTGATCTATAAGGAGAGAAATATAGAAAGATACAAAATACAATATGTATGTATATACATACAATGTGTATATAGTGTATGTGTATGTATTTGTGTGTGTATATATATGTATATATATGTGGGTATGTATGTGTACAAGCACTCTGGTAAGTGCTAGGATAAGGGGAACAGAATATGAAAGTTCAGAGTCAAGCAAGGACTCGTATAGTCAGCTTTTGAACTCAATCTGAAGGATACAAAGGAATTTGGGCATAAAACAAAAGAAAGAAAACTTTACAGATCAGGAATACTTACACAAAGAAAAGGAATGTTGAGATGATACTTTAGGAGTTCTTCATGCGCTTTGGATTCTGATCCTAGATTGCACTTCCTAACTCATGTTCCCCTTTTGATATCTTCTGTCTCACTCTCTTTAAATGGGTTCATTTTATTCATTTCTTTCACACCTTGTACTTCTACTCCATTGATTTTTTTTTCCTATACTGCCTAACTCTCCTATTTTTTTCTCTTCCTATATTTTTTTGCCAGATACCAGGACCTTCTTTAATAACATCAATATATATTGGTTCCACATTTGATCCAAAGAGCTAACTTCTGTGATATTACATGAGTCACCTTCAATTTCTTTTTTTTTTTCCCCCTCCAGCGTGGAAGAGCCATCATAAGACCACAAAGTCAACTCAAACACAGGACTCTTCATTTCAGAGATTGATAATGAACCGATCCAGAAGGAATGGACTTGGACCCTTGGACTTGAAATCAGAAAAATCATGCATATATGAAGGCAAATTAGAGAAAAAACAGGAAAAAAAGGAAATTTTTCAGATAGTTTCAGTCACCCACAAAAAAACCTTAATTGTAGAAAGAAGCCATAAAAATGTTGAATTTAGCCAGAACTTCAACCCAACGTCAGTAGTTGTTAGGCAACAGATAGTTCCCAGAGAGAAACCACCACCAAAATGTGAAAAAAAAGGAAACACTTTGAAACATAATTCAAATTTACCTAATCAGCCAAAAATGACAGCAGATAAACGCTATCAATGTAGTATGTGTGAGAAAACCTTCATTAATACTTCATCCCTTCGTAAACATGAGAAAAATCATAGTGGAGAGAAATTATTTAAATGTAAAGAATGTTCCAAAGCCTTTAGCCAAAGTTCAGCTCTTATTCAACATCAAATAACTCATACCGGAGAGAAACCTTACATATGTAAAGAATGTGGGAAAGCCTTCACTCTCAGTACATCCCTGTATAAGCATCTAAGAACCCACACTGTGGAGAAATCCTACAGATGTAAGGAATGTGGTAAGTCCTTCAGCCGAAGGTCAGGGCTTTTTATACATCAGAAAATCCATGCTGGAGAAAACCCTTATAAATATAATCCAGGTAGGAAAGCATCTGGTTGCAACACATCCCTTCCTGGTCAAAGAGTTCATCCCAGAAAAAAGTCCTATTTGTGTAACGAATGTGGCAACACCTTTAAATCTAGTTCATCCCTTCGTTATCATCAGAGAATTCACACCGGAGAGAAACCTTTCAAATGTGGTGAATGTGGGAGAGCCTTCAGTCAGAGTGCATCACTTATTCAACATGAACGAATTCACACTGGTGAAAAGCCCTATCGATGTAATGAATGTGGAAAAGGCTTCACATCTATTTCACGACTCAATAGACATCGAATAATTCATACTGGTGAGAAGTTTTATAATTGTAATGAATGTGGCAAGGCCTTAAGTTCCCATTCAACTCTTATCATTCATGAGAGAATTCACACTGGAGAGAAACCATGTAAATGTAAAGTGTGTGGGAAAGCCTTCAGGCAGAGTTCAGCTCTCATTCAGCATCAGAGAATGCACACTGGAGAAAGACCCTACAAATGCAATGAGTGTGGGAAAACATTCAGGTGTAACTCATCCCTTAGTAATCATCAGAGAATCCATACTGGAGAGAAACCCTATCGATGTGGGGAATGTGGGATGTCATTTGGCCAAAGTTCAGCCCTTATTCAACATCGAAGGATTCATACAGGAGAGAAACCCTTTAAATGTAATACATGTGGGAAAACTTTTAGACAAAGCTCCTCACGTATTGCACACCAGAGAATTCATACAGGGGAGAAACCCTATGAGTGCAACACATGTGGGAAACTTTTCAACCACAGGTCATCCCTTACTAATCACTATAAAATCCATATGGAAGAAGAACCCTAAAAAGTACATTTGCATGTGTAAAAGCCTTAAACCAAAGCTCATCAGAGAACACATACTTCAAGAGTGATGTAATAAATATTGAAAAAGCCTATAATCATTTAGTGCCCATTAGCTATCAAATCCCATGGACAAATCTTGATTATGTAATAGCTAAAAGGAAAGCATTCATGCCTGTCACTTTTTAAAATAACCTGAGAATTCATAAGTGAAGACACTAACTTTGGGCATTTGTAAAATAAAAGGTGTTTGATTTTCCTCTTTCCTACAGCAGTGTAGTCTAGCTATCACATGTGATCATCATAAACATCAAGTGGGTAGGGATTTCTCTGGTTTTCTCATAAAAACACCAAACTCTACACTGGTGATATTTTTTATAACATTTTAGTAGCATATGAGTGAATGAATCAAAGAAATTATACGTTTTTAATGAAAAGGACCAAAATAAAAGATTAAAATAAACTGTAAACTACCTCTCAGTCTCTGGGGTTTGTCCTTTTCTTGTCTTAATGTCATAATTTGCACGTGGATTTCATTTAAAATAAAAAAAGATTTCAGGGGCTGGGATTGTGGCTCAGTGGTAGAGCACTCGCCTCGCACAAGAGAGACCCTGGTTTGGTCCTCAGCACCACATAAAATAAATAAACAAAATAAAGATATTGTGTCCATGTATAACTAAAAAAAAATTTTTTTTAAAGATTTTATTAAAGAAGAGAAAGAAAAATCTGGTCTCTAATTTAGTAATTACTGTGAATTGAAATTTTCCACCTAATTTTTGTTGTAAGAAGAAAAATTATTGTTTTGAAATCATTTATTATGATAGTATACCATTAATATCTTGTGAGCTATCACCTAGGGGTATTAAATACAAAATAGGAAACTATTTCAATTTTAAAGCTACTATGAGGTTTTTTTCACTAAAAAAAAATAAAATTTAGTCAGCCTCAGTAATTTAGCAAGGCTCTAAGCAACTCAAAATCTTGAAAAATGTTTTTGTGGTGTGAATGCTGTTTCTCAAAACATTCTTATGTTGAAATTCTAACCTCTGAGGTTATATTAAGAAGTAGGGCCTTTGGGAAAGTGATTAAATCATGATAGTGGAGTCCTTGTGAATGGGATTTGTGCCCTAATAAGATAGTCCCAGACCTGGTGAGGTGGCCCACACTTGTAATCTCAGCAGCTTGGGAGGCTGAAAGCAGGAGGATCACCAGTTCAAAGCCAGCTTCAGCAACTTAGCCAGGCCCTAAGCAACTTAGAAAGACCTGTCTCAAAATAAAGTTTTTTGAAAAAAGGTTGAGTATGTAGCTTAGTGGTTAAGCACTCCTGGGTTCAATCAACAGTACCAAAAAAATACAACCCTGGTGTAACTTGCTCAGCCCTTTAATCACAGGATGCCATCTTTGAACCAGATGACCCTCACCAGACTACCCACCAGCACCTTAATCCTGGAATTCCCAGCCTCAACTGTGAGAAGTTTCTATTGTTCAAAGTTACCCAGTGTTGGATATTTTGTTATAGCAGCCCAAATAGACTGACATTAATCACTTTATAAACTTGGTGTTTTTCCCTCCAAATGCTAGTGATTAAACCTAGGGCCTCTGCATGCTAGGCAAGCGTTATATACTACTGAGCTCTATCCCGCAAACCAGTATTGTTTTTTTATCCCTGCTTCGAGATGTGTACTATACTACACATTGCAAATTTTAAGAAAGACACAGACCTTCTTTCAAGAAGCCATGGAGAAGGGGAAGAGAAAGGAGTTGAGGGACTATCAAAGGAATATGGAAATATCTCTCAGTATATAACTGCTTGTTTTAACAGACAAAACGGTTTAATATGACAATATGTTGCAGTGCAAGAATGTTGTAAAATTTTGCACCGAATGAAAAAAGAGATGTAGGGGGCCTGGAGATATCAAAGAAAGCTTTGTAGAGGCAATAAAGGCCTGAGCCAAATTTTGGAATGATAAAAAACTCTTGCGAAAGTGCATTTCAAATAAGTAAACTACATGTGCAAGAGTACAGGTGAGTAATATGACACATTAGGAAACTTGCGTGTAGAGCTAGTGAGCAGAAGAATAAAAGATGTTAAAGCCTGAGGAGAAGGCAGAGGCCACATAACAAAAGGCCTCATTTGTCATGGTAAGGAACTTGTGTTTTATCCTATAATTAATATTAGCCAAATGTGTGGGGCATGCCTGGAATCCCAGTGACTCTGGAGGCTGAGACAGGAGGATCACAAGTTCAAAGCCAGCCTCAATAATTTAGAAAGGCTCTAAGCAACTTAGCAAGACCATGTCTCAAATTTTTAAAAAGAGATGAAGATGTGGCTCAGTGGTAAAGCCCCTCTGGGTTCAATCCCGGTACCTAAAATAAATAAATAAAATTATATTAATATCAAGCAAGGGAATTTGTTCAGTAACAATGTAAAGAGGATCAATTTAGGAAGAGGTTAAAGAAAACTAGATAGACTGATGCCTAGAAATTTAGACTATTGTGATTCAAGTGATAAATGAATGAGAATACAAATTCAAGGAAGTGCTGCAAGGATGAAGAATAGGAGTCAAATTATCATTTATTAGAATAAACAGAGTTTTCCCAGGCAAATAGAGGGTGTTGAGTGACAAGAAAGCTAATCTGGCCCACAGATAAGGCTGCCAGACAGATGTCCTATATTTAATGATTACGTCTTGAATCCTGTACTGTCAGGACACCCACAATGTATTCAAAAATTTTCTTCCCATTAGTAAAAAATCAGCAGTTAGAGCTATTTTTCTGCCTCTGTAATTGTCATTTAAGTCATTCAAGTAGCAACACAAGCCGAAATCACCTCTACAAAGTGATCTGAGCAATCCTTGATGGTGAAAGAGAACTGAGAATTGAAAGTACTTGTTTTCCATCTTAAAGAAATGATAAGTTTTGGCCAAAGTTCCAAGTTGTAAACAAATAATTATTTATAATTAGATGTCCAAACAGCACACACGTTACAAAACCAGGGCCAGCCTCATTCCAGTGGACCTCCTTCTGAAAGTAAGGAAGTTAATACCAACCTCTAGCTTCTGAAAGACCATCATCAGTTTCATGCTTCTGGTCAACAATCAGCAAGGACCTCACTTCAGAAACCATGTTCGTGAAAGGACACTAGTCAATAGCCTATTCTAGTGACCACATTAACACAGTTGAAAAATCTGTCTATTCATAAACGCTCCTGCTTCTAAAAATCCACCAATCCTGAACTTCAGGTTCCTGAACTTCAGGAACCTTGGATAAGATCAGCTTTGGCTTTCTTCAGGGAGACTGTTCTTGCAAGTGTAGCTCTCCTGTGCAGGAACACATGAAGTTCACCTTTTCTGCATATCAAGTTTAATTTATGGTTGTGTTTGCAAGTCTCAACCATTTCAACAGTTCAACTTACTGTTAATTTACTGTTAGCCTCATGAATGAGACTATTAAATTCAGTATTTAAAATTCTTGCAATGATTGCTATAATCTATTTTATATTTTTTGGTAAGAACACTTAACTTGACATCTACCCTATTATCTATTTTTATTTGTGTATATTTGGATCCCAAATTCAAGTGCAAATTTTTTATTAATTTTAAAAACTTTGAGTTTCTGTTAAATGAAGGGAAAATCCTTTGAAGCTCTTCAATATGCAGTTGGTTATTTACAATCAAAAACAATGACTAGTCAGATGTATACTCCAGCATACACTAATAGCTAAGCTAAGAGGTACATGATTTCCTCAACTTGACCTGTAGAAATGGATAATGTAACAAATTTCCTGATTTAAAAAATTCAGATGAAAATAAAATAATCACAGCAGAAGTTGTAATGACCTTTCACACTATATTTCATCTCCTCAATCTTTCCAGGACAAATGACCAGCTGAACACATCAAAGGTATTCTCTGATTTTGAAACTGCAAACAAATTTTCAAGTGCCAGAAAAAAAATCTGCAATAATAAAATATAATAGCTCTTCTTACTATTATTGAGATTATTAAGGATTTAAAATGCCTCATCTTTTTTACAAATAGCCCCATGAGGGGAAAAATAAGGGGGAAAATCCCTCTGAGTGATGCTTTATTCCTGAAAAATCTTGCTTGGGAGGCTATTTTATTCCTTCCAGATGAGACCTCAGAAACAATACAAAAATTTTTTCAAAACTCATTTAATTGAGTTGAGTGAAGTAAAATTGTACCACTTTGGTTGAGAACAAATTTAGGTAGATGCATAAAAGTGCAAACAATTTTTATTCAAAATTAAAGCAAAGTATAAAAGATTCTGTGAAAGGTGTTGGCTGTCCTTCCTGTATTCTGCATTTCTGCATAATGCTACACAGACACCTGTTAGCCTCCCATTAACACTGGACTAATCATCTGGAATTGTTTCCTTACTTCAGCATTTAAACTGAGCAGTTAAAAGGATTTTTGTTATTATGTTGCCATTCAGAATTCCTTGATTCCAAACTTATTGGGACTTAGAGTTTCAGCCCTGATATGTAAACATCTTGGAAGTCATTGCTCCTCCTTATAACAGAAAAAATTGGTCAAACTAAAAATCAATGACAGTTTCTTTCTGTTACAGGAATGGGACCTTCTAAAAAACTGAAGCCACATGAAGACATCCCCCTTTGAAGCACTGACTCTTGTGATCAAATCAGAAAGATTTTAGACATGTTGCTCAGAGTAACAGGCAGTGAATTTATTAGGACTAGGAAAGGGGACATCCTCAAGGGAAAGGGGGACAGTGTGCCTCTCCTGTACTTCAGTTTTATTTGTGATTCCACAGAAGTTTCCAGAGAGTCCCGCCAAAGTCCACCTCTTGACTTTTGATTGACAACAGATTGACATCAGACTTTCAAGTCCCCACTGCCATGACAACTCTAGGTCACCTTGGCCCATGCTGACAGTTCTAACTTGGATATTTAACCATAAATTCTTAAAGCCAGGAAGGGCTGCGGGTAAATTGTGACATTATTTCAGGCCTGCATTTCTCCTGCAGATAACAGATAGTTTGCTGAGGAATGTGACATATCCTGTCCACTTAAGCCAGGTAGAGCTTCAGGTAAACTGCTTCTTGGTAAAGAAAGCATATGAGGGTCAGCACAGTGGGCCCATTTTATAGAATTATTCCCTTATCCTCATGTTCCCATCACTGGCATCGTGTGTCCCCAGTCACTTCTATGTTTCTGAGAACTGAGGTCACAACACTGTAATCTGGTGATACAGGCATACCCAGAAATAGCTGAAATCCATTTGTTTTGGAGCAGAAACTACTGGAGCCTTAAACTGGTGGGAAAACTTAAATGGTAATTTTGATGAATTGCCAGATGTTGAGTATGTAACAGATTGAAAGTGTGAGAACCTGCTGGGGCCCACAGTCTTATGGGATTCCACCATACTTCCATTGCAAACTAGACTGAATTCCACTTGGTTCCAGGAACCCAACTAGATTCACATGGAAATATCAGATCTA